GACACTATTAACTTTATTCCAACGTGTCAAGTCACGAAAATTTCAGAATATAACACATGATTTATGAATATTCACCAGTCCTAATTTCAAGTGTTAATGTTTAATATTTTCGACTCTAACCTACATAACGCAGGTGTTGTATTCCGTAACACGTACGAAAATAAATCATATAGCTATTTTAATCAGAGCAAAGTTTACACCACTTTCATGTATAAACCCTGGCGAAATTTGACGAACCGTTTCTTCTACAAGTGTTCCATTCATCATTTTCAGTTGAATATGACGAGAGAAAAACGAAAATTAAGATCGCGAAATCTAACTTCGTTTTGCTAGTAAGGGAAAAGGTCACCGGATGTCAAAGACAGATGTTGTCTACCAGAAATCTTTGTTGAATGTTAACAGTAAATTTGGAAATATGTGATCTTTCAAATCCAATTAATGCCTATTTAGTATGATTAATCATAGCTCATAGGAATACAACTTTGAAAGCTATACTTGCTGAGGCAACCAAATTATATAAATTTTGCTCCTACTTTAAGAACAAAAGATGTGCTGATTACCTGTTTTAATGTCTAAAATAAATACCGATTTTGAGTGAAATTAATTCACATAGACGATGAATATTTCTTGATTCCATTATTCCAAATTTTAGGAAATCCAATTACCATAAATATAGTTACCTACACTAGACGTGTTTTCATTCGTTTCAGTGAACTACAGGTCCTCCATGAATTGACATCTACAATTATCAGAATTGTCCATAGACACAGAACAATATTATGTGATTGTGATGACATACTGACATTTTATAATATCATCCCGTGTCAGAACAGTATTCGAAAAAACATCGACTGCGAAATCCATCACGACTTCGGATTTGTGGGAAAAAAGATCTTACGCACCGACGGCAATATTAAAGAAAAACAGTTTATACCAATTACCAGTAACCAAGTGAAGGTGATTAAAAAGTTAATTATACAATATATTTTGCATTACGGGAATCTGAATCTATTTAGAAAATGTATCAATGGTAGCTCTCCAACTCGTGCATATTTTACCTCGATGTGCTTCCGGTTTCATCAAGGGAATATACAGTTACAAATACTGTGATTAGTTTTTTATGATCTGCATTATTTAAGATATTGAATCGTTTTGTTAGGATGTATATAAGTTTAGATTCTGCTTATGAACTCGTATTTTCAAACATTCATCGTGTCTTGTCACCTAAACAATTTAGGCCAAGCGTGTCACCTACGGCTGTCAACAATGGCAATGTTAGAAGGTTTATAAACTCGCTAAATATGATACTTTTTTCACAAAGACATTAACAGTTACGTAATGAAATTATTTTTAGCGAAAATAGTTGGGATGACACAACTTTATGGATTATCAACTCCTTTATTCTAACAATAGCGACGTTTCGGTATAGGTTCTTATACCGTTTTCAAGCGTTTTCGTCGCTATTGTTAAAATAAAGAAGTTGATCATCCATAAAGATGTGTCATCTCTACAGAAGCAACTTCTAAATGCCACTCAAACAAAAAAAGAAAATAGTTGGATATATTAATAAGATGGGAATAGTGTTTTCGCTACCACGATGCATGTGGAGTTGTTTGTTTACCGCCCGTGATCGTTCCTATGCATCCAATCCGCGATTTATCATTGAGATTGTTTTAGTTTATGATTAATTAAACAAGCAGTTGCTATTTTTTAGAAAGTAGGGAACTTAAGTGTTTTCTCTCCACCAAGGAACAAAATTATTGAACAAATTGTAAAAGAAATGATTTCATTTTGAAGATAATATATTAGACTTAGTACCACTCGACATGAAGTGCCTGAAGTCAACAATGGCCAATGTTTGTGGCTGCGTGCGGAGAAATTTGGGAAATACATTTTAAATTCGCGGACTTTTCGTGTTAAGGTACATAAACAGTTAGTACTTACGGTTTTTATATTTAGTAAACTGTGAATTCATGCATTTCATACATATTTGAAACGTAAATCCTACTTTGTCAGTAGTTATTGTAAGTTTTAGTGTCATTATGCTGCTCTCCTGTCGAATGGGTTCGACAGCAGCATTGAGAGGCCGCACCCAGCATTACGCCAGCAATATCACGCCGCCTAGACCTTATATATATATTTTGAATAACATGCCATAATGTAATGCTTTTGAACCATATAATTTAAATATGTAAATATTATTATTCGTTGTCGGAAAAAGCGAGCCTTCAGACCACGCACCCCAATGTCACCCCAACCCCTACCGACCTAACGCACACACACACATACACAGTTTAGTTCTCTCCTACATGAATAAATGGACCGGGAGTGGAACACGTGTATTGGACAAAATCTCAGGAGTTGACACGAGTCGTGAAAGGATCAGGTGACTCTGGGTTTGGTGCCCGTGGTGGATCCTTGTGTTTCAGCACCAAAACGTTCACATCGGGCTTTTTACCCACGCTAAGCTGGCACGCCCTGCCAGAGCGACACATATATTGTTCCACATAAATTCAAAACGTACGTTTCACGCACTCAAATACACTTCACAGATTTGAATTCAGTGGGAAATTTCCAGTTTCTTTATGTCACCCACTATCATCTTAGACAAGGCAAAAGTACTGCAGAAAGATCTTTCAGAATTGGGCACATCGTAAATTTCGCCTTTTTCGTAATCGCGATTCACCTTGTTATTTTTTAGTACGTTTTGAAATGTAAAAAGAACGGATAATTATTTGGAGGATTGAATTTTTGAAAATAGAATATTAATTATCACGGAAATCAGTTTTTAATTAAATCAGCAATGGTAATAAAAATTCTGAAACGTCGCCGATAAACCTGGAATCGGTTAAGATGTTTTGGAAAATACATGAACACGAAAGCCCAAGTGAACTTTTCGCCATATTGGATATTGCATGGTGACAGATCGATCAGGAAGGCCGGTCATGTGACGCCTATTACATCACGTATATTTGACACTCAGTTGCGACAAGTACATCACTGAATTTCTTATACATCTTACAATTAAATTCCAAATGGTCTTTGTCAGCAAATCCAAGGGTCTAAATTAAATCAAATGAAACATTTTAGGCGTGAAAACGAGGACAAATGCAGGATTTACGCGGCGTAGCATTTTCTCAAATGTTCAGACATCTAAGGGTCTATTCGTAGCATGCATTGGGTAAGTAAGTTTAGAATTTGCATGTGACGTAGCAAGAAACAGGAAATTGAAAATAGATAACAACATAGTGATTTAATTGATATCAAATGAATTGTCAAAACGTTTCCTTGCAGCGTGACGCCATGACTCACGCAGAATGACAACGGTAAATTTCGGCATTTCTGACTTCTTCTCTTACTTACAATGAAAACATTAAAACCAAATAACAATAGACATTTAGAGTCTTCCTGAGTAGTTAACCCCCACATATTTATAGACACACGTTCCCTTGATCACAGGAACGCCCCTTGCAAAATCCTGCTTACCGACACTAGCGAACCCTCCATTTTGTTTGCAATCGGTCATCGACAGTGATGTCATATGTCAACATTGTTGTACATATGTTGCAATTTCTTTGAGGTGAAGGTCGGTTGAATAAGACTAAACATAATCACCCTATCTTGCTGCTTAAATAGTATACTATGTAATTTGCGTGGCGTTCAGATATTTTTTCAGGAAACTAATTTCATTATCTACCTTGCCCTGTTCAATATTATCATATGTGGATATAGGCTATACATTTTTATCTTGTGAATGTTTTTGTTTGTTTGAACAATATTTACATGAGAATTTGACACATCTAGCATAGTACACCATATTTGTAACATTTACACAAGTGTTAAAAGAGTGACTGGGTGAGTATGGTTTTACGCCGCTTTTAGCAATATTCCAGAAATATCACAGCGGGGGACACCGGGAATGGGCTTCACAGTGTTAACAGAAGAAACGTAGGCATAACTGCAACACATAGATCTACGTACATTAGCTCTTATGATGTGCAACCCGCCATAGAAAAGTCATATCTTAAAAAATATATTATAAATTTTCGTGTTTTGAAATATTCTTTTTCATTTACGTTGAAGTGAATCATTAAATAATTTTCCAACGTTAAAATACACAGTCAAACCCTGTAATTGTTTATCTATTTAGGACATTATTTAAATGGTACAACCAGTAATTACATGTTCTGCCGAAAGAGCGTCAAATTCTTACAAACAAATCGAGAAATGTTATACAATTAATGGAAATTAGAAGAGCTATATACTAATCAACATACCGTATTTCCTCTAATAAGCGCATGGGGCTTATTGTTCCAGACCCGGCGCTTATTAGAGCCCCCCGGCGTTTTTGCACTTACTGGGTGTTATTACCGTAATTGTTATTGAGCTGCTTTACCCCCAGCGCTTTTCAGATATTCCGGCGCTTAGTAGGGAAAATACGGTACCAATGACGTCTTCCTCTGACGTCGTAAAACACAATAAAGCAAGCTATGACGTCAACTTATTATAGATGATGTACTGTTTTCTGTAATTTCATTACAAGAAGAAGAAGAAGAAGAAGAAATGGAGTTTATTACTGTGTCACATGCTGAATTACAATTACATTGTTCCAGGGATTTAAAATCAGCATCCGGCCATATGGCCTGTGAGAAAAACATCACAGTTATATCTAAAAAATCACTGATAGTAAAGCCACACACACACACGCACGCACGCACAAACACACAAGCCCAGACATATACACAAACGCACACACACACATACAAAAGACATATATATATGAAGACATGGCTAATACTCTGTTAATAATGGCGCAAAAAATGCATGTACACATACAGGAGATTATGGGGATCTGAAAACTAATTTACATGCTGGATAGGGTAATCCAACTCGATTTTACGTGCTTTCTCATGTAATACCATATCATAATTTCTTATAAATTGTATTACTACCAAAACTTATCCGGTTACAGTGAGGATGTTTGTTTAGGAATAGTCTTCTTCATCGTGAACAAAACATCACGACAATACAGTGCCCGCAGCAAATTTGACCTGACGTTAAGCACTGCGTAGTACTGCCCCCTTATCTTTATACGGCTGTGACCTCTCGGTCGTCGTTTGACGTCATAGAGGAAATCCATTTTCGTGATTTATTGCAAGTAAATTTGCACATACAATGTATAACGTTATATATAAGTACATAAACCCATTTCACATATATCTGGAATTATTTTGTTCACTTTCTCTAAAGATGGCAAGTACAAAAAATCTTCGCACAGTGCTTTATCGGTGTCCGATGAAAAGCTGAGAAACTTACTGTTTATTAATGCACAACGCTGCTAAGTATTTGCTAAGTATATTGTTGACACTATGACTAACATAAACAGGTCATACGTTGAGTTAATTTGTTTTGTTTTTGGATTGCTTGTTGATTTACTCTGATTTCATCAGTTTTTCAAAGTATATGAAGGCGGTTTGTAAATGATCCTTGACCAGGTACTCAAATGGCAATCCAATGATCAACAGCATCTACCCAATTAATATACGCTAACATTTGTCAACCAGGTGAGCCAGTCTGACCACCCGTTAGTCACCTCTTACGACAAGCATGGGTTGCTGAAGACCAATGCTAACCCAGATCTCCTCGGGTATCGCCAAGATTGTAAACGTATGACATCTGTGTAAAACCCTTGTCACTCCTGACCACAAGAATAAAAGAGGATGTGATATATTGTATGAGAAGTACTGATAAGAATCTTTGTTCGCAGGTCAATTCAGACACTTTGGAAGCACGGACCTCTTTAACCTCGAGGTGTCAGTATTATAGTTTGCCTATTAACTCTCTTTACCGTATACTTTCCTGTAGATGTACAGCCTAAGTTGATAAAGACCAAAGTATACAACTTGCAGTATAAACACAAGCACAGATATGCCCAACAGTATACCAACGGTGGACCCGGGCGTGGACCAGTCCAGTATATATTTGTAAATGATGGCCTTGTCTGTAGCCCAGTAGATGAGGCTGAAGATCATATACACCGCAGCGTATGTCAACGCATGGATAAAATGTAGAATTCGGACAGGTCGCGCCGTGATGAAGGTGTCCACGATGACGAAGACTGTGTTGAGGCCATGGACGTTCAGATTTGACAGTGTCATTCCTGATGAAGGATCGTATAACGCACCGAAGAAGATCGACGTCACTATGATGCAGGTATCGGAGGTGATGTTGGCAAGGATCCAGGATATCTTGGAATACCAGGGTGTTGTATTTACGGGTTGAGCCTCACTGAAGTCTGGAGATTTGGATTCTGATTTTGATCCGCCAGTGCCTATCTCATTGTCAGTTTTAATGGCACTGTCTTCATGACTTTCCTTCCCCTTGTCGTGGTCGCTGTTAGTCGTAGTTTCACCGACGTTTGCGGAGGGGGCGTTTTCTGACGTTGGGTGTGTTTTGGTAGTCGTCCTGGTATGTATATGACATACAACAGCAACAACGAAAGCAATGAAGAAATGTAATGTAAGAACCAGGTATGACCAGTTGGTAAAGTACACCATTTGTTTGGACACGGGTTCTGTTGATGCTCCGTCGACTTCTGCCAGCGTGTAGATGAGGGCAAACAGTGTATATCCCGCCATCACTAGACGGTAAATCAGATATATTGGACGGGGCCATCTCCACTGAAAGTAGACATTTAAACATACATGAAGAGACTTTCAGTGTTTTCATAATAACGTCAAGTGTTACATGCAATGATAAAATAATGTTGTTCTATTCGCAGTATTACGAACAATGCCAATATAGATGAATTTATACTATTAGAATTTTGTATCCGATAATATATCATTTGTTACCCAGAATGTTTTCCAATTCGTTACTCAAATTGTTTCACAATTCGTTACTCAAATTGTTTTACAATTCGTTACACAATTGTTGTGTATGCTACACTGTATGGGAAAATTGAACATGTATAGTCTAATAAGCAACACTATCATACGTTACGAAATGAAAGTTTCAAAAGTGTCGAATGGTTTGCTTCCAACCCCAGTCAGAAATTCCCAGCTTAATCGTTCGTGGATGAGAAGTATGAACAGATGAGTGGCCCAGGTACATGTACGCCTAAAAAGTACAACACAATCTCCCAGGCGATAACGAGAAGTCCCCAAAGTGCATTCTCTGATCAATAAACTCGCCATCTAGTGCCCCATCTCACTGTGGAGACGCATGCATAAATTATTCTAGTGCATGCATATATTACTCTAGGTGCATACATATATTACTCTAGGTGTATGCATATATTATTCTAGGTGCATGGAAATGTTACTCAGGGTGCATGCATATTTTATTCTAGGTGCATGCATATTTTATTCTAGGTGCAAGCATATATTATTCTAGGTGCATGGATATGTTACTCAGGGTGCATGCATATTTTATTCTAGGTGCATGCATATTTTATTCTAGGTGCAAGCATATATTTCTCTAGGTGCAAGCATATATTTCTCTAGGTGCATTACTCTTGATCTATGCACATAACACAAATGATAACATCCTTGGTTAAAGAAGACCGTTCAACATTGACTGTTGGGAACTTCAAATACACTATTATTAACGCAGGCTTGGGGGACACATTGTTTGGCTGGCATTTCTCGGGGGGTTGACAGATGACAAAGTGGACTCCGTTATACACTAACCTCCCCTTAAAAGCTAAGACAGACATCTTCTCTACAGTCGCCAAACGAGCCTTCTACCTTTCTCCTGCTGTGGGCGGTTCAAGTGTACCATCTGAATAATTTAATACGGTTTAGTTGGCCTCTTATTTACTTGGCTTCCATTGTGCGTTCTCTGGTTACAGTATAATCCTTTTGTTGTTATAAGGTAACCTACAGTCTACCATCGTTACTTCCTCGTACCTATGATAATTTTTAAAGTTACTCCGTCATAAACATTCTGTACCATGTTCTACACTCATGCTTGCTTGACAACGGTATATACAGATCTATACCTAAACGTCGCCATTGCATCATAATGAAGATGTTATCCATAGAGTTTTACCTATATTGACGCACATATAGGTTTCTTGTTGACCAAGTACTCGTGCTGCTGTGTGTGTCACGACAACAAACATTGGCCGCACCTATTTATGCATAAAGTCCAGTACTTTTTGTGTACTTTGCAGTACTACAAAACATTCACCCATTTCTCGGTGGATTTAAGAAATGACTTTCGAGATTGTGTGAGATCATTGGTGTATAAGCCCGAGTGGGTGTATAAATCTTTGGCTGATTTTGCATGGAGACGACGTTTTAGTGTTATGTGGTGCAGGAAGGCGATATGTTAGTGTTACGTGTTACAGGAAGGCGATGTTTTAGTGTAACATGTTACAGGAAAGCGACGTTTTATTGTTAAGTGTTGCAGGAAGGCGATGTTTTAGTGTTAAGTGTTGCAGAAAGGCGATATGTTAGTGTTACGTGTTACAGGAAGGTGATGTTTTAGTGTTAAGTGTTGCAGAAAGGCGACGTTTTAGTGTTACGTGTTACAGGAAGGCGATGTTTTAGTGTTAAGTGTTGCAGAAAGGCGACGTTTTAGTGTTAAGTGTTGCAGAAAGGCGACGTTTTATTGTTACGTGTTACAGGAAGGCGATGTTTTAGTGTAACATGTTACAGGAAAACGACGTTTTATTGTTAAGTGTTGCAGGAAGGCGATGTTTTAGTGTTAAGTGTTGCAGAAAGGCGATATGTTAGTGTTACGTGTTACAGGAAGGCGATGTTTTAGTGTTAAGTGTTAGAGGAAGGCGACGTTTTAGTGTAAGCGGTTACAGGAAAGCGAAGTTTAAGTGTTACGTGTTACGGGAAGGCGACGTTTTAGTGTTATGTGTTGCAGGAAAGCGAAGTTTTATTGGTAAGTGATACAGAAAGGCGAAGTTTTATTGTTAAGTGTTGCTTGAAGGCGTTTGTTTTGGTGTAGTCAATTTTGACAAAATATTATGTTTTAGTGTTGGGAATTGGGAATTGTGATGGGTATTTGCAGGAAGGCAACCTTTAAGTATTGCCATGAGTATGTGCAGGAAGGTGAATATCGTTGTGCAGTATAACATCGGGAATATACAGTACCCTTGTGTTACTGCTGTTGTCTGCCTTTAACACGACCCTACGAAGGCCTAAAATAAAACTCTTCCACCGCTCATTGTCCTTTGGGCGGGGAAAAATAAGCAGGCAGGAAAAGCCACTTGTGGACATTGTTGTAAACATCCGATAAATAATCGTCATAACACCCGCGTGTCTTAGATACCTACATTGTACATGTATTTATTGATAGTGATTAGATATTCTGTAATGTACTGTAGAGTTCTTATGCATTGACTCCCTTAAGTGGCATTTAGAAGCTGGTATGTTGAAATAGAACACTTTTGTGGATAGACAACATAAAAGTGCTCCACTTCTTATGCATTGCACTAAAAATTGTGACAATAAGGTTTTACACCCACAGTATTGTTATTAACGTCAGTTGGGGAGGGGGCGGAAGCGTTACTGTTGGGAGTAAGTTTGTTTTTATTGTTTTGTTTGTTTGATTTTTTAAATTATTAGTATTTTTGTCACTACTGATCATTCTGTTTTCTTGCCAATACTTCTGTCTTTCCACGTTTACAAACTTCTCATCCATCACTGTAATGTTATAATTCTAACAATGAAATCATTTCATTTGAACAATATTTAAATTATATTCATGTTTCATTTGAAAGTGTATAAATATATAGCGTATCTTACCTGAGAGATCCCAAAGTATTCAGGGTGATGAAAATTCAATCCGAAATTACACAGACGAAACTCATTCCGGACGACAGAACACATCGTGGTGCATTGGGCAATCGGGGTGACTGTGTTTGATCATGGGGTGGTATAATCGATCATCAACTGTGACATGAAATGAACAATATACCCCACAAGTCACATGCGCAAAAGGGACCAATATATGGAGCATATTAAGCACGATGACAAACAATTCTATAACAGAGGTTAATGGTTGTTAAAGTGTTCAGTTGAAGAACCCGGACTACTCGATAAGTGTTCTTATGTTGGCCGTGCTCTACAAAAGGGACCAATATATGGAGCATATTAAGCACGATGACAAACAATTCTATAACAGAGGTTAATGGTTGTTAAAGTGTTCAGTTGAAGAACCCGGACAATTCGATAAGTGTTCTTATGTTGGCCGTGCTCTACATTCGTCTCTCATTGCACCGTTCTCGTCGATATTGTAATGGCAAACAGATGGTACCCTTCCAAGCAAGTTTGTCAGATATGGAAAGGGAATTATTCTATAGCATTGGTAACGAATGATAATGTATTTTCGTTCATTATGACAGTGTTTGATGGTGTAATAATGGCACATCCTATTACTTAGTCAAAGGATGTCAAGTAAACCAGTAATGTTTATTTAATATATTGGTAAATATTGTAAATATTCTGCATAATAAATGACATTACGTGTAGATAATATGATGACAGCTTCCAATATCGACGAATTCATTTCGTTGATTACAGTCATGTGCATGTGTAATTTTAAAGGTTAATGAAAACGGGGTGAAAGAAGCGTCAAGCAAGCACTTACTCATTATGAAGTCAATATTGTACAATCGTCTCCGCTTTACGCAGAGATTTGAGTAGATCTGTCGTTTCTGTGTCATATTCAGTGAGTCAGTGAGTCAGTGAGTGAGGATTTATAGTCACATCGGCAATATTTCAGCCATATCGTGACTTTGAAAAGTTATGAACGGACTATATTGAACACTCATGAATGTATAGTGTTTCCATGTTCAGTGTTGGTGAATTGATTTTCTTCAGGAACATTCGAGTTCGTGTTGGCGAGGTTGAGATGGGATGTTATATTTTGATGAGTTAAAGTTTTATTACAGTCACTGTAATCCCCAAATGTAAATTAAGACGGTGAAACGTCGTTAATAAAAGCGACAAATTCTGACCATATCATTTGGATGTGTTTATCAGTAATTCAGTTTCAAATCGTTACGGCACCAGGTGTTTTCGAAAAAGACAAGAGTATCCTGCACCGTCGGTGGTACCGAAAATAGTACAGCTCAAAGAGCCGTGCAAGGATCGAGATATCACTGGTTCCGTTACGACGATAGCGCACGCGAGGTCGCATTTGTTTCAGCGAAACATAATGGAAATTAAGATGAGATTCCTTGGTATTTGTTTGTATTGTTCACACTTCATACATTTTGAGTAAATTGTTTTACTCTTTCTTTTGTTAAACTCCGTTTTTGTATTGATTGGTCGACATGAAATAGGAAGCGAAATACTGGAGGGAGAGTACATACATTAGTCCTTCATAACACAGTTGGAGTGAGTGAGTGAGTTTAGTTTTACGCCACACTCAGCATTATTCCAACTATATGGTGGCGGTCTGTAAAAAATCGAGTCTGGACCAGACAATCCAGTGATTAACAGCATGAGCATCGATCTGCGCAATTGGGAACCGATGACATGTAACACAGTTGGAAGAGATTTCAGGAAACTGACGGGTACCCACTGACACTTGCTGGAGTCGTTGCACGATGACAACCCGACAACAGATTATTTCCTGTGCCCATTCCTGAGTGAGAGAGTGATTATGGTTTTGGCAATACTCTTGCAATATTCCACAATATCCGATATCAGGGATACCCGAAATGGGCTTCACACATTTTACCCACCTGGGGAATCGAACACGGGACTTTGGCGTGAAAAACCGGAGCTTTCTAAAAAATGTTTGAAACCTCTCTTACACCCCTGTCATGTGTACATGTTATATATTTCCCAAACTTTATATTCTCCAGACTCCTAATAGTAACCTTTTGAATGCGAAGACATTTGCGCAACTGTGGAATAACAGAACAAAGTATATTTGGTATATTTTATCATGTTATCATACACGCGCAGCACAATCTCTATATTTTACTCAGCTTGGGAATCGAACCCGGGGCTTCGGCAACACTTTAAATACTAGAATCAATGAAGTGAAGGTGGGTAGATTAATGTAATGTGAAGAATGTGAATGGTTTAAGAGTGTTCAAATATATTCTATTTCAGACTGAAGGGTCAACTGGCCATTCACCAGTCTTGAGGTCAGACTTCTAACCGTGATATCACATGTTTGTAAGTCACATAATAACAGGGCTTTCAAACAAAAAGATCAAACAAATAGATCAAACAAATAGATTGAAGATCGATGATGAGTTCAATTAAACAAAAATCAGCTTTGCTGACATTTAAGAAGGCGTTACCTTCAAGCACGTACCCCATTAGTCTAAACAAGTACTACAGCGGTTTATGATCTTGTACATATAGGGTCCTAGCTACGGAATTTCGTTTAGTGTTATACCAGGGAACTGGATATTTAACAAAACACTAGCTATTAGTGAAGAGAAGCAGGGCACACGATTAATAATGTGTCTTACAATGCACATCATATACTTGTAAGTACAAATCCTATTGTGCAGGGATAGTAAGAGTAGGAAACACAGTGCAATAATATACTCAAAGCCAAAAGTAACTGTGACGTGGAGTTTTGTACACCCACAAAACGTTATATGGATTTTATATGAACTGGGGAGAGTGGTGATGATAGAGAGTGTGAAAATTAGTGTAACCATTAGGGCTGCAACGATTCACCCAGACCGCGATGCGATTACGATATTGGACCATCGATTCGATCATATTCAATTAGATTCTCCACACAAGTAAAAACATCAGATTTCATTTAACTCCCAGAGTCGGCTTTTTCAGCGTGAAAATCCATATTCAACTTGGCGATGTCTATTAACAAGATTTCTCATTGGATAATTAGCCTGGCGTCAACCAATCACGTTTCGACTTATTTCAGCGCTCGAAATTGCTCGATTTGGAACCAAAATTACGTTCTCGCTGTGTGGAAATAATTTAAATAGGTATTCAAATATCGAATCGAAATAGTGATAATGGTTATCGAAAATCAAAACTCAGGCGTCATATTCGATTTTCGCGAACCGAATCGTTGCATCCCTAGTAACCGTCATTGTTATTTCTTGTTTTGGCAAGAAATAAGGAACATTCAAGGAATGTTCTCTACAAAAGGGCATACACAATATTCGAAAGTGAAATTTCAGGAAATTTTAAATTAAAGTTTGGTCGTTTTCATTTGATTTCACCACGTCACCATTAAGGAAGACTGGCAGTTGGCAAACTCGAGGAATGTTCGATTCTGTCATCTCACAGTATGATATCATGTCAGTGCAACGTTCACAGGAACACCATATCAACTGAACTGTCAAGTCAGAGATCGGCCCCGTAGAGTTGTCCACTAGTGACAATATATAGTTTTGATAGAAACGGATAATTTCTGTTTACTGAAACGAGCCCCAGTGAGAGGGGAGATTCACTACCTGAGTAAATGTGGACTAGGAGTTTTGAGCAGAACAAGTACCCGAGACTCTATACATGCTCGTCATATGAGCGAAATATTCTCAAGCACGACGTTAGACCCAATTTCACCTCACCTCTATACATGCACGCACACACACGCGCACACACACGCACGTACGCGATCTCTCTCTCACACACACACACTCGCAAACGCTTGTGCTGGTCAAAACTCCTTTGTGGACACAAGATCATTCAATACTCTTACAATAGTTCTTCAGACGTATTGAAAGAACACCCGAGTTTTCATAACGTTACACAAATCTTTAAGTTAACATTACCTGGTCAACTATAGTACTATGAACGTTACATTATTTTGGCAAACTAAGAAAATACCAGTAAGTTAGTTATCACCATTCTGAGTATCTGTTTCTGCAACAGGTGTGTTGTTTTACGAATACCCAAACACTTAAGATCGTTTATAATACATAACAATCTTCGATTGTGTCAAGTATAACAGTTTGGCTTCATCAACAGAATATTTGACAACAGAATCGACAGAATCTGAATACAGCATCAATAGCAGCTGTCAATGTGTGGAGAAAAAAGTTAAGATAAACGTACTTTCTCTGACTATATAAATATTTTGTTTTTGAATATACACATCTGCATCTAAATACTTATAAAAATACCTACAGTTATCTAACTGTACTATATCATGCAAGGTCCCCTCTTTTAAATAGTTAAATATCTTTGTAGGGAGAGATATGTACATAGTATGCCTGTTTACCAATCTAAATTCTTTTGCAAAACATGTATTGTTTAAATATATGTCTCGTTATTTGATTTACTTGGCGATTGAATTGCAGTCTCAATCTCCATAGACTATCCGACACACGTTGTATTGTTGTCATTACATTAGCAAGCCTAACGTCGCCGTATTGCTGAAACAATGCCGACACGACGTCAAATTTTAACTCACTCACACAGTAGGTCTAACGGTTTTCTATGACCACCAAACTTGCAGCTGAGCATGCAGTGCAATTATCAGGCGTTGTCAAGCATTGTATTGTTTGATGTCCCACATTTCAGTTATTTTTAAGTCCCAGGGTACAGAATCCTTCAGTCATAATTATATTGACACGTAATACGTACAGTTATACAAATTAGCAAAGTGCTTCATTGAAAAATGTCACTAAAAATCTGAACACCGAGAGCAGGGAGATCATGTAATTCCGTTTCAAATTCCTTAACCTTAACGTTTACTGCATAATATGTGTTAACACAAGCTGTTACAGCATTGAAAAATGAGTCCGAGTTGAAACATGAAAAAACATTGATTTTAGACAGATAAATCCGAAGGTTCACATGAATAATGTCTTAAACATGGCCGAACCCACTCGGTATATTTACGGTAGGACAAAGCAGGTGGCAAGTCTGACCTATATGCTAGACAAGCGGTTGTAATTCAAGCAATGCAAGTCACTGTAAATCGGTATTACGCTTTCTTATCGAATCTTAGGCCTGAGCCAGGATAGGTGAAGTAGTACCATCAAATCTGTAGCGTGCCATACGTATGTGTACGTAAAACGGACGTACGAATGACCATGGTAGTATACACTGTGCAAACAAGCCACTCGTGATCACGGGTACACCCTGTTACGACATGTTAGAATGTGCGTGGTACAACTGCACTACCCGTTTCGACGTCAGTTATAAGGACATTTATTCTGTGAAGTATATCTGGGTTACACTAACCTTTACACTATCGTGGGCGTGTCCTGTCTCAAGGCTGGTCTTATCTCGAACCTTAACAGCAGTCGAGGACGGGACGACGAGATGTGAGATCTGTTATATCCTATCCGGATACAAACAAGGACTTGTTGCTCCTCAATTTACATGGAAGAGTTGTCTGCCTTACGTAAACAGTGATTATTACGGAGTGGCGGGTGTCCGTTTGGGAGTTCAAATCCATGATTCGTCCACCCTTGTTTCAAATGGAGACTCCACGAGTAGTGCTGTTATCTAATGGTATTCAGTTAAGGATAGCGGATGAAAGGATGACTTTCAGAAATACTAGTTAATACTAATGTAAGAGTTAATGAATAGCGCTTTGCAACCATCTACGGGGCGGTAGGGCAGCCTAGTGTTAAACTCGTCAGACCGTAGACCCGGGTTCGATTCCCCACATTGGTTCACTGTGTGAAGTCATTTCTGGTGTCCCCCGCCGTGATATTCCTGGAATATTGCTAAAAGCGGCGTAAAACCATACTCACTCACTACAACCATCTACAGTACCGGACAAAAGAAAGCATACACACATTTGAGTCGTCTTAAAAAAAAAGAAAAGAAGAAGAAAATTATGGTTCTGCGATCGGGATGTATTTCATACTCTATCATAGTTGTGTTTAAAACCTTTTTACTGTTTTGGCAACGTTTACAGCTTGGTGACGTCACGATAACGTTCGGTTAGATTCTTTTTTTTTTATTAGAATAGGGACAGATGTTACATATCCGATACATAAGTACATATATATAGCGAGATGTTACACTGCTACTATGTGAATACAAATATATCCATTTCACATAGAGATGAAGATATTATCTACGGATGTGAAAGTAACATCCTCGGAAATGTACAGCATTTGCTTTATGTACTATATTGAAAAATTAGGGCAAATATACGATAAGTACTAGAAGTGAAAGTGTGGAAATAGGGAGAGGAAGACAGGAGAGGGGGAAAGAGTAGATGGGAATGGAGGGGAGAAGACGGGGGAGGGGGCGTGTTGGTGGCTGCGTGTTACGCTGTAAGTGTCGGCATCAATGTTGACCATTTATTTTTGACTGTGGTACTGGCAGGGCCGTAAATATATTTTGCAATATTATAAATTTGCTTGACCACAGAACTGATACTGGCCCGTCGTTAAGGTTGAGCGGTCCAATATCATTTGCAGCGGCCCGCAAATTTCTTATAATAGGAGGGCCGTTTCATGATAATTCCATGTGTTTTAGCTATAATCATAAATATATTATAGAAGACTTACACACAGATACACACACGCACGCATTCACGCGCACACATACATGCGATACGTGTCTGGGGTTTCCAATTATGAATCAAAATAAGTTAACGGAAAACATGGTCCACTGTAATTTAAGTAAAATAACATTGAGGTTGACCCCTTCTTTAGTAATAGTACATGAGTATATTAGCAGTACATGTAGTATGCTGATTGTAATTTTCTCTTTTACTAACCGCCATTCCCGCAGCATACATACTCAGTGATAAGTTTATTTACAAAATGATCTGCTTATATTGACAGTTGTCTAGACACATCACATATCTTTGAAACACAAACATACTGGACTCAGCTTATGATGACAGTCAGACAGTATGATCACCCACTTCCCTACCCAAACCCCACGTCGGTTTACCCCCGGTTTCCCAACATTTCCTAAAACAACAAGTTCAGTCAGGCGGAGAACAATAGGAATTTGTGCAAACACAACACAATAAACAATTTAACACAACAGTTGTTTTATTAATAAACATTTATTTGGCACAACTTGGGTGCTGACTGATAACTGAAGAAGGGATGACCGAGAGCTAGGTTGCCGTCCTGGCACCGCAGCGGTGTGTGGAGTCTGCGGACTCTGATTGTTAAAGTGGGGACTGCGGACCCGGTTGTAACCTGAGCTCTGGTTTAAAACTTGGGGGATAAGGATCCAGTGTTAAGTGGGTAATTGCCCGACCCGGTGTTAATTGGGTACCAGCCCGAGAGTGGCGTGAAGCCGCTGCGGCGGGTGACAATGATATTCAGTCTGCGGACATGGAATATAAGGGAGGATCTGCGGATCCTGTTGTAACCTGGGAGGTAATTACATGAAGCATCAGTCAGCTTCAATACTCTAAGCATGGGAACATTTGTAATGTTTTGAAATCGACACAATATCTGTATTAGTTGCTATCTTTTACTTATTGCAGTTGTATGAAAAGGATCAGCACTTATAATAATATCCACCTAACGATCCTTCTGATCTTAGCGTAAACGTAAAAACATAAGAACCACAAACAAACATAGCGAACCGAAAGAAAGGGGGAAAACGCGTTTGAGAAAAATTGACTATTAACTGTGACAGTAAGCATAAATACAGTTATGGCCGCTGTCAATGGACAGTGGACTCGACGCAACACAGCGAGGCACAGTTACGCATAGTCGAGCTCGGTTAGGTTCCACTACAAAAAATCAGTATCACATGCTCTTTGAGCGAGAGCCGTATGAAACAGGTGAAGAGAGACAGAGACATGTGACAGCTGTGATTGGATGAAAAAGTGTAAGATGTTTATGTTTTTTAAAAGCACATCCAACCAGTAATTAAAACTGACCACAATTTTAAGTAGTTAGTGCTCTCATTTTTATCACCATCACTTATGCTTATTCTGTGTACAGATATGTTCCAGTAGGTGACATTTGGTGCGGAACTGGGGTTGATGTGTTCCGCTTCCTGTGCTCGCCAAACGAGCAGGACAAGTTGGTCTGATATTTTGTTTTATGGTAGTTTAAAGGCCAGAGTGTACCCATGTGTACATGGAATGGCTGTTGATAGCCTGGATATTTTTAATTTTTTTTATAAGGTTACTATAGAAGCCTATGGGAAAACTTTTGGTGGTGTGTAACCGTTAGTGCCGTGCACTGAATGATTCGGCGACCAGCTGATTGACACGAGTTATCTGGCAGGAGGCTGGTCGCTGATTGCTGGAGATTGGTCATCTTATGCCCAGGCTTGCTGACCAAAGGCATTTGACCAAATTAATTATGTTTACATTACCATTTATTGTGTTGTGTAACTGAACCGAATACTTCGTTGAGCCATGAAGTAGTTCCGGCAAAGTGATATTTACAAAATATTAATATATTTCTGTCACTGCAGTAAAACATCACTTTTCTTAAACCCAGAAATGTCAGTCTAGTATAAGTATCAAGTATATAATAGAAAGAGACATTTCAGGAAACACAGGAAATTCTTACACCCGTTTCGTAACATCAGTATGGCATACATGCTCTTAAAATACACAATAATATATGCATGCTCTTAAAATACACAATGATATACCGGGGTATACATGCTCTTAAAAACACAATGACATATACATGCTCTTAAAATACACAATGAAATATACATGCTCTTAAAATACACAATGATATATACATGCTCTTACAAATCCACAATGATATATACATGCTCTTAAAATACACAATGAAATATACATGCTCTTAAAATACACAATGAAATATACATGCTCTTAAAGTACACAATAAAATATACATGCTCTCTGAGTGTAGCGTTAATCATGGATGGTTGTACACCTGATCAGTTTGCCATGATATAAAGAGTCACTGGTTCAAGGCGTCCAGAAATGGCTGAATTAACAGTGCCACTACCATATATCGCGATTGGTGTCAACCGATTTCAAATCACCTTAGAACGAGTTAGAACTCGTTTCTCTCCACTAAACAATTTGTTTATTAACAACATAAACGCTATAAGCGCACATGACCCTGACCTCTTTTTGAACCACTTTGACTGTAAGATAATCTTGTGCAATGTTTTCTCCATAAAGCCAAATTGTTTATGAACCGCATAAAAGCAATAAGTCAAAACACATAAGAATGGCCTTGACTTCCTTTCTGAACCCCTTTGACTGTAGGTGGGATTTCATATTGGATCATTTTAACCTGGAACGGTTCTCCTGCGACAAAGTCGTCAACCATTTCGGTAGCTGCCTCTTAGATTTATGTAGCATTTTAAATATACATATTGTGAATGGCAGATGTGGTAAAGATTTTAAATTAGGGGATTTTACATTTATAGGTACAAATGGCACAAGCGTCATAGACTATGTCTTTGCTTCTGCACATTTATTTGACAAAGTGCTAGATTTTGCTATACCTACTAAAGCAGAGTCCTCTCACCTCCCGTTAACCTTAGATTTACGTGCGCATCACCCACCAGTACAGCCAAAGACTATAAGTGGTAAATATAAATCTGATCATGAAGCATACAAATTTGTTTGGAATAGCAAGATGTTGTCGCAATTCAGAAATCGAATTCAGAACTATCGGATGATATACAAGACTTATTTGATAAATCTGTTGATGTAGCATTCACTGATATAAGTCAATGTGTAGATTATGTCGTAGAAGCATTGTGTCTAGCTGCTTTTGATATGAAAAGACAGATACGCCCCTTTTCAGAAAAACATAACACGATTATCTGGTATGATGAAGAATGTAATCATTTAAAAAAAGAACGGTGTAAATTTCTTAACTCCTTCCGAAAAGATAAAACCTTGCAATCCCTGGAGAGATATCACAAAGCTAGAAACAGATATAATACAACCTGCAAGGAAAAGAGAAAGTCATTGATGGAACAGAAAAGAAAAAAACCCCTAGAAAATAATATAAATGATGCCAAAAAATTCTGGTATGAACTTAAAACACTAAATCCTAAGAAAAGCCAAAATAATAACATTGAAATCGACGAATGGTTCAATTACTTTCAGTAATTATTCTCTACCTCTGATAACAACCCAGATCCAAATAGACAAGACTATGTGAACGATACTGAGTCTACTCATATTTCAGGTGTAGCCTCCGACATATTGGATGCCCCAATACGTAGAGATGAAATACTTAACAGTATACAACATCTAAAGTGTAATAAGTCACCAGGATTAGACAACATCCTCCCGGAAGTTTTCAAACATTCATCTGATCTTTTACTTCCATATCTTGAGCTTATTTTCAATATTATCCACGACACTGGGAACTTTCCTGAATCTTGGTCAGTTGGCATTCTTGTTCCCTAAAGATACCAATAACTACAGTGGAATAACTGTACTTAGTGTATTTGGCAAGTTATTTACTTACATTATCCACATAAGATTAGTTAAATGGACTGACGTCATGGATCAGATATACGAGGGTCAAGCGGGCTTTATGGAGGGATATACAACAACAGATAATATCTTTATACTGTATAGCCTAATACAAAGATACGTCAGCTCAAAAGGTGGAAAGTTCTACGCACTATTCGTTGATTTTGCAAAGGCTTTCGATTCTGTGCAGCGGGATAAACTATGGACACTTCTACAATCGCACGGTCTTAGTAGTAAAATGAATAAAATGTTGAAGAGTATATAGGAAAATGTTAAAGTGTGTGTAAGGAATCAGCATGAATTCTCTGAACCTTTCATTAGTGAACTAGGTGTTAGACAAGGCTGTATTCTAAGCCCTTTCCTTTTTACGTTTTTCATTAATGAATTAGCAATACAAATATGTGACACATGTACGGTTATCTCCCATTTGACAGACACCCATTTGACAGACACCCAATTGGCAGACACTGAACTAGAAGCTTAATTAGAGTAACACCTACGGGTATAATGGAACAATCCACTGTCCAGTGAGTAGAGCAGGGTGAGCCTGAAACAGGCTTCTTACTGAGAAGTTTGATTGTGGGTAAATTGAACTTTGTTGTGATTAAATGATAAATGATATCTCTTCTCAAAATTGATTTTACTATCAATTACTATCGAATATAAAAACAGGTTTGTCACTGAGAGGTTTGATTGTGTTTATTGATAGAAAAGCCCGCCTCCGAATAATAGCATATGTACAACAGAAGTTAATTGAGAAAACGTTTTGTTGGAGAGATATAGATATGTATATATTTGAAAACATTCTGATTTGCAGTAAATAAGACACCTGCATTACCATGTAAGATACGATTAATACCAATCAGTGTTCTAATTTTAACAATACTTTCTAAAGTTTGTAACAGTTTGTCTTTGAGTAGTATACAATGGACATTCAGGGAAGTAATGAAAAACATTCTCACATCCATGGCCACATTGACATGATGCGTCATATTTAAAATATATTTATTCTAAATAAATCGTAATTAAGTGCACTCGTCATATATCTTAATATTGTGTGCAAAACATATAACTTCTTTATTGCATATGAATTAAAGTTAGGTTCACATGTGTCTTTACTTGATTTATATGATACAACAGTGTCGCAATTTCTAATAGATAAGCTAATGTTTTCAATATGATGATGCCAACTCCCGTTAGACTAGAAATGTTTATGTTTATGTCTTTTCATCCATCTTTCAAATAAATAATATAGCTTCAGTTCGTTCCTGTGTTTTTATTTGGACTATTCCATTATAATGTGTAGGTAACAGGTAGTAGATAATCTGTTCACTGAACTGTAAATGTTGTTGTTTTAAGGTGTCTGCGAACTGGCTGTCTGCGTAATGGGAGGACACACATGTACGAATGGGATTCAACTACACTCAGATACAATACAACTATTTCTGCTACTCTTTGCCGATGATATTGTACTATTCTCTAGTACTGTTAGCGGTTTACAGAAACTAATAGATGAATTAGACAAATTTTCTGACCAATATAAATTGTGTGTAAACAGAGACAAAACCAAAATTATCGTCTTTAAGAACGGTGGAAAGCTCTCTAAATTAGAAAAATGGTATTATAAAGGGCAACTACTCAAAACTACCAGTGTTCATAAGTATATTGGTGTATAGTTTTGTAATAGCCTTTCCTGGTCCAAACACACAAAACAAGCGACAGCACAAGCCTTGAAAATCTTAATCGGTGTTTGTAAAAATATGAGATCGTTGGGTGAAATGTCCTTTAACACATTCTTTAAAATATTCGATATGAAGATAAGTCCAATACTTCTATATGGCTCTGAAATATGGGGATTACAACAATATGACAGTATTGAAAGAGTTCATTTATATGCATGCAAAAGGTTTCTTGGTGTAAAACCGAACACATGTAATAGGATGGTTTACGGAGAATTAGGTAGATTCCACTTGTTTATATACTCTTCCATTAAAGCCATAAAGTATTGGGTAAGATTACTGCATATGCCATGCCATAGGTTTCCGAAAAAATGTTATGATATGATGAAATTGTATGACGAAAATGGGAAAAGAAATTGGGTGAGTGATATTAGGGAGTTGTTGTACAAAACTGGTTATGGTTATGTGTGGTGTGATCACAATGTTCAGTTGCATACCAATTTTATCATATCATTTACACAAAGAATGAAAGATATCTATTTCCAGTCTTGGTCGGAATCACTACTTCTATCCACAAAATGTTTATACTATAATCAATGGAAATCGGACATACGTTTTGAAGACTATTTAGCAAAAATCGGCGTAAAGAAGTTCAGTATAGCTCTCTCTCGTTTTCGTTGCTCTTCCCATGAATTATTTATTGAAACTGGCAGGTATGCAGGCATACAAAGAGAAAACAGAATATGTCAGTTATGTAATATGAGTACTGTTGAGGATGAACTACATTTCCTTCTAATCTGTCCCGTTTATACGACTCGACGAACGAACTACTTAAAGCCATACTATTATAAGCATCCAAGTGTAACAACATTAATTTCACTATTAACAGATACTACCACATCAATATTACAGAATCTGGCAATGTACATCTATTTCGTTATGAGATTAAGAAAAAGTACTGTTGCAGAAAGAGTTTATAAATGACTTCTATCTACTCATGTAAACTCTAAATGTACTACAGGCCTGTGGCCTTTTTAAGTACTAAAATAAAGATTGATTGGACTGTAGGTAATCTTGTGCCATGTTGGTATTTGGACCTGTGTGTAGTTTGCCTGGTCGGTATTTTCTATTTATGTTTATATGTAATCTATCCTGTAGGTATTTCGTCAACTCCGCCCTGTCACCTGCTATGGTTCTCAGTAATAAAAACCGTTAAAACCAAAGGAAAATCAGATGAGGAATTCCCAATTATTTGCTAAACGTTATTTTCCTTTACTACCTCAAATCAGGCTCTCGGCTAATCGGGTATCTCTCGGCTGATGTAAATTCTTGGACGACACAGTTATCTCCCTTCGGGGTTTCCGTCATTTTACACATCCCGTTCGTCTTTGTGGAATGGTTATATTCAGTCTCACGAAACCGAACCTACGATCTTTCATGTATCATACATCGAATTTCAGAGCCTAAATAATGTCTTGTAATTTTGCTTTAATTTTCAATCCCAAAAGTCAGTAGGGGATGCGGTGTAGCCTAATGGTTAAAGCGTCCGCTCGTGACGCTGAAGACCCAGGTTCGCTTTCCTACATGGATATATTGTATGAAACCCATTTCTGGTGTCCCCCGTCGTGATATTGCTGGAATATTGCTAAAAGCAGCGTAAATCATACTCGCTCAGTCAGTCAGTCACTCAAGTCAGTATGCTGGGTGTGAGATCAGCATGACTTATATCCATATAAGTCCGGACTAGTACACAAACGCGCGCGCACGCACACACACACACACAGACTAGCCACACACAGGCATGTACGCTGTTATGTAATTAAAGTGCAACAGTTTTGAACGCGATATTAAGCTCCAGTCCACCTCTCCTGTCGCGTTTCCATAGGGTGAACGGAGATGTGTAGAACTCCCCACATTAGACAGCAAAGTAACACAGTAACAAGTGTTTAATGCATGAATTTATGTAATTATTTTATTCAATAATTGAATACTTATTACAAAGAGTAACCAATGCCAGAAGCCCAGGAAGATGTTCCTTTTTCTTTCTTCACTTCCATCACCCCGTTGTTTGACTACAAAGAAAGGACAGAAAACGAAAATAGAATGGTATTTTATGCCGCAGTAAGCATTAATACGGAGGAATAGGAATTTGACAACCTGTTCTGAACAAAATGTCCAAATGTCTTTTTGAAGGATATTCTGTGGACTAAACACTATTTGTCCATGTCCTTGGTTTTGAATTCATTTTACAACGTTATTTGGTATATAGTATCTGGGTGAGAATTAGTATTTGAAAAATCAGTATTTCCGATCAAACGTCTCCTATAGACGTGTAGCATGCATATCTCCACCATATGAATATGAAGATGTCGATGCGGTGCAGAACCATAGAAGCATTGATACCAGATAACAACATCTACGAGTGGACAGTATGCTGCAGCACACGAGACAAAATCGCACGTGCTTCATGCGCCCAAAGAGTTGAAACAAAATTTGAGAGAAGCCCATTGTAGATGGGGTAGACGTATTGCAATTCGGGAACAGGGTTTTAGGTCCGTCTCAAGACAAACTGTGGACAAGAATTAAGTCGGCTATGTTTCCATTACAATGTTCAACCTGTCCTGAAACTGAAACAAGTAAACGTGTGACTGGACAGTGATGATTGTTTGTGTGTTGTTTAACGCTGTAATCAGCAATTTTCCAGCAATATGGCGTCGGTCTGTAAATATTAAGGTCTGGACCAGACAAACAAGAGATCAACATCACGAGCATCAATCTACGCAACTGGGATGATGACCTGTTACAAGTCAGCGAGCCTGACCACCCTATACAGTTATTCGTCTCTTACAACAAGCATGGGTTACTGAAGATCAGTTCTCACCCGGATCTTCATCGTTCTGGACATGGATGTCTGTAATTACATTCTATCCTTTGCCGGTGTACATTATGAACATGCCAGATGAAGGCTGCAGTATATTTGAGTAGTTTTGCCTCAGGTCCTACGAACGAAAGTGGTTTGGGGACATGTTAGATGTCCTGAAGTAATGACCCACTCGAATGATGAGAAGAAGGTTCATGGACATCAACGACCTTGGAGAACTCACCTTAGACACAAAAACGGTAGGTATGTTGACAGTACTTTCCAGCCGGGCACTTTTGCACGCATTCGAATTTTCTGTGGGCCAAAATGGATACCCTGTTACCACCAGTAGATTGAGACATGTTATAGTTGATGTCATCCCCCATAATATGAAACCTCATGTGCTACGTTAAGCATAAAATGTACGAATACCATAACACTGAATACCGTTTATACCGTATAAGAAATATTAATATTGAATATATCGGTTTCAAGAGTTGTATTCAGTGGTGACAGTCTTTGAAGTTGCCATTAACTTACTACTATATTTGTTACGGTCGTCATTAAATTGCCATCTCCTATTTTGATAGTTCACATATTACCTAGCCGCCAATAGCTGCAAAATTGCTGATGTGGCTTAAAGCAACATTGATTCACTCACATATTACGTATTGTACTTGAATTTCATTCTTGTCTTAACTCACATCACCACTATCATTTCATCAACGTGATGACGTAATGACGGTATGTGTAGCAGTCAACACTGTTGCAGCTATATCGAGGCCTTATGTCCTCGAGTGTGAGCAGGCAAAACAGTGGTTGATAGATTGAGCAACTTGGTAGCCTTCCCTGGCACGATGACACACGGCCAACCGGGTCACACAGTAACAGGCCAAGTCGACTTTCTCCACAAGCAATGACGGTGGGGTAACCCTAGGGTTCGAATGAGTTAGTGAGTTATGTTTTACGCCACACTCAGCAATATTCCAGCTATATGGCGGCGGTCTGTAAATAATCAAGTCTGGACCAGACAATCCAGTGATCAACAGCATGAGCATCGATCTGCGCAATTGGGAACCGATGACATGTGTCAACCAAATCAGCAAGCCTGACCACCCGATCCCGTTAGTCGCCTCTTACGACAAGCACGCGTTACTGAAGATCAGTATTCTAACCCGGACCTTCACGGGTCCCGGATTCGATTCCTAACAGATATAGAATGTGTGAAGCCTATTACTGGTGTCCCTCGTCCTGATATCTCTCTTCAAGCATTAACGGTGAGGTGGCCTTGTGGTTAAAGCGTTCGCTTGTCTCGCCTAAGCCCCGAATTCGATTCCTAACAGATATATAATGTGTGAAGCCCAGTTCTAGTGTCCCTCGTCCTGATATTTCACGACATGCAATGACCGTAAGGTAGCCTTGTGGTTAAAGCATTCGCTTGTCACGCCTAAGCCTCGAATTCGATTCCCAACGTAGATATGATGTGAGGGGCCCACTTCTAGTGTCCCTCGTCCTCATATTTCTTGACATGCAATGACGGTGAGGTGGCCTGGTGGTTAAAGCATTCGCTTGTCACGCCTAAGCCTCGAATTCGATTCCCAACATAGATATGATGTGAGGGGCCCAGTTCTAGTGTCCCTCGTCCTGACATTTCTCGACAAGCAGGGACTGGATATCTGATGTTCTTACAGGCCCTCCTGGTTGGCGCAGTAGCCCACGTCACAGTTTTGACATCCCATGAAGGTGCACTGGCTCTGGCTACAGTTGGGGGGACAGTCTGCGGCAAGTGAACACCAATAATGAATAGTTGTATGGACAGATGGACAGCTCAGTCTTGTAGCCAAACAATAAACGTCTTATAAAGACAGGTGGATGTTATAGTTCAAGGTGATTATTGAGGTCACTTCGCAAATGTTCTTATAGGGAATGTACACAATAAGAGATCTCAATATAACCTTAAAATATAACCCATTAAACTGTATCAATATATAATTAATAGAAGGACAACTTGATGAACGCTACCGTGGCGTCTCTGAATATATCACGTGTCACAGGGAAACTGACAGCAAAACTGTATTTTTGTTTTGGAACTGTTTAGGTTTCAGGCAATCTTGTCCCAAGACGGCGAGATGTCACAGTTACAAGTTTTACCTGGGAACGTTGTCACAATGTGCAGACGCAGGGCGTGTCAGGTAAACTAATTATGTTGCAGATAAAGGCGTGATATATTCCTTTAAGACAGTCTTAGTTTGTGTGGTAGTACTGAGACTGGAGACTGGTACCACGAGAAGCCCTATACAGATTGTTCTCATTGCGTCTACATTTCACCTTTCCTACCCCAATGCTTGTTCTTGTGAACAATTACCCCACACCTGAACACTGCAGTCGAATACCGCTAAATATATGAAACCTATATATTTTCTAACGTTGCGTTTTTGAACAGGCGGTTTGTAATATGTAATATTTAATAAACAGGTCGGTTTGTCATCTGGGAATAATCAATATGGTCGTCTAATTGACCTCATCTGGGAATAGTCTCAACTGACCTGTTTATCTCCCCAGCAAGGAATTAGTGTAGTAAACAACAGTTTGGTGGATAGATCTGATCTCTTATCAGTACGATTGTCCAACTGAAAAGATTTAAAGTTTAATTGCGCATTTGAATTTTTGTAAGACTTCATCTTGCAGCGTGAATATTGCGTAGATTAGCGGTATTACACATCACCATTATGACTAGAGTACGATGTAATGGTGAGATCTCATTTACACATCAACCTGTAGGGATTAAATAAAGTAAGTTAAACAAACAAACAAAAGACGTGTACTTACCTTCAGCCGCAATGACCGCTATGGACAGGACAGTCAAAAACACCACAAGAATTAACTTCGTCATTATCGCTGGAAACTTGCCACAAATGAATCTTCTCACAAGCTATGCTACTGTGGCACGGCAGATCGCCTTTTAAATAACGGCCTTTATTATGGAAGGCTGTGTGGGACATATACCCATGTTGTATTGCATTTTAATTGCATCATTTAAAAGACGTAGAGATTAGGTATATATCTGTTGTCTGTTTTTCAAAGGTTAAAACAGGAGGTTATTGTTTCATATGATTGCATAATTTAGGGTTGCACTTTTACTTGTTGAATCTGGACAGTTGGGTAAGTATTAGCTCTAGAGAAGGTACACATGTCATCGTATCCCAATTGCGTAGATTGATGCTCATAATTTTGATCACTGGCTTGTCTGGTCCAGACTCGATTATTTACAAACCATCGCCTTATACCTGGAGCATTGCTGAATAAGGTGTTAAAAACAAAGCAACAAACAATCTAAAGAAGGCGTCTAAGAAAAGAGAGTGTACACGAAAAATCTTGTTTTCTGATATGACACAAAATGGAATAATTTTAGAATTAGCTGATATCAGTGTTTGGAAATATCAACTCATTTTTTATCTTATAACGTAAAACTCTCAATATATGTGTTGAAATGTCATGCCATAATAGTGAGCGAGTGAGTATGGTTTTACGCCGCTTATTCAAGCAATATCACGGCGGATACGCCCTAACAGGGTCTTAGTTTTCCTAGCTAAACAGGACAGAATTACCCCCTTAGATTATGACGGAATTGGTTACAATTTGATTTGGACTCGTCGCCTGTCTTGTCCCAAAGCAAAAGACACCACAGAGACGTTAATCGCATGAAAACGTATTGTAAAAAGATGCATTATAATTGAAACTGTAAGCCGAAAGATACATTCATCACGTGTAATTTCATTAAGGTGGATAACATTCGTCTGAATCTTGAGAAGGAAAGTACTCAAGAAAACACATTGTTTGGCCAGAAAGACCAAGATGCAAATGTTATACCTTTATTTGAACTGTACATGTTCTCTGAGAATGACATTCTAGATGTCATAAAACCTATGCCTGCTAAAACCTGTGTTCTGGATCCAATACCGACTGCTCTTGTTAAAGAGTGTATGGATGTTCTCCTCCCAACCATCACTCACATTGTTAACAAGTCCCTCAAAGAGGGTACAGTTCCTACAGCATTCAAACAAGCCGTTGTCAAGCCACTTCTCAAGAAGGATATCTTGATAAAAATGAACTGAAGAACTATAGGCCTGTTTCGAACCTGTCATTCATATCAAAGGTTCTTGAGAAATGTGTCTCTGTAGGCTACAACAACATCCAAAGAGCAACAGTTTATATGAAAATTCCTGTCTGCCTACAGATCAAGGATAATCTTGGCACAGCACTGTTTTGAGAAAGCTTTGATCCGAGTTATGAATGACATCGTAACTGCTGTTGATGAAGGCAAGGTGGTAATCTTGGTGTTACTAGATCTTTCATCAGCCTTTGACACCGTGGATCATAACATTCTCTTAGGAATCCTTAAACACGACCTTGGCATTACAGAGATTGCACTTGCATGGTTCAAATCCTATCTAGCCGACCGAAAACAGTCAGTGGTTGTAAACAGCTCAACATCAGACTCATGTGATCTTAACTGTGGAGTTCCACAAGGTTCTATATTAGGTCCTATCTTGTTTACTCTGTATACTCGATCGCTCAGCAAGATTGCAGACAAGCATGGTCTACAGGAACATCAGTATGCTGATGATAATCAGATATATATCGGATTCACGATTGGGAATGCAGATACAAGTGTGATCAAGGTTGAACAATGCTGCAGTGACATCAAGCAATGGATGCTGTGTCATCTACTAAAGCTCAATCAGGACAAGACAGAGTTCATGGTAATAGGCACAAAAAAGCATCTACAACAGTGCAACGGTATTTCCAAGCTTGTCATTGGAGATTCCGTCATCACCCCATCAGCAAAATTGAAGAATTTGGGTGTACTGTTTGACCAACAGCTGAGTATGAATCACCATGTTACTCGTGTGTGCCAGACTACAAACTATCATCTCAGAAACATCGGGAAGATCCGTCCATACCTCACCAGACCTGCTGCACAAAAACTGACTGTTTCCCGTATTTTATCCAGATTGGACTATTGTAATTGTCTACTTGTCAATACCACTAAAGAACAGATCAAAAGACTTCAAACCCTTCAGAACACTGCTGCCAGAATCACATCCAGAGCGTCAAAGTTTGACCACATTTCCCCAGTACTCAAAGAGCTCCATTGATTGCCAGTTTCTTTCCGCATTGACTATAAAATACTTTTGTATGCGTACAAGTGTTTTCACAAAATTGCTCCACCGTACCTCACTGAACTACTCAACACCTATCGTCCTCCGAGACCTCTCAGATCACGAAAGCAAAAACTTTTCACCATTCCAAAAATTCAGACCTCAACTTTTGGCAAGAGAACATTCAAATATGCAGCTGCAGAAAAATGGAACTGTCTACCCGAAAACCTTAAATCTGCCTCTTCACTTGAATCCTTCAAGTCACAATTAAAGACTGTTCTCTTCTCCCAGGCTTTCCCTTGCTAAGCGCACAGAGCATAGGACTGTGAATGATGCGCTATATAAATTCATGAATTATTATAAACCTCGAGTCAATGGGAATATCAAACATGTATACGAGTAACAATGTTTACTTAGATATGACATCAGTATCGGTACGCACCTTTCACAAAATGGAGTGTTCACATAAATGTGACATGTAAGTAATACACGACAAGTATGTTTCGTTTTCGGGGTATAGGGGAACTGAGTTTCTGAAGGAAACTTTCGTGGATTCATCAGCTTGACTCTCCATGTCTACAAATGATAATGTCTCTCTTAATAATGAGACTTTTATTTCCCTGAATCTTTGCTACGATACTCTTCCCAGGCATATTCTACACATTCAGCCGCAATCTTTGCATAGGTGTTACATTTCCTCAGATCCAGATCCACAGAACGGTCCTTACAGTATTCCATACTTTCAAGATTACATTGTGTTGGGTTGTTCCAGAATACGCTTAACTGAATTTCTTTTTCACAAACTACGGCTTCGTGAACATGGCTAGATGGTTATCTAGCGAACATAACTTCTCTTTCTCTCCGTTATTTCGTTTCTACCTCCCCCTCTCCTTCTCTCGCTCTGTAATATATAAACTTTGCTAAGGATCAAATCATGGATTCAACAGAAAACTATGATGTGGGGTCAAATTTGGTTTAAATATCTAAGCTTATTGTAAGCATGGTTCCTAGGTTTTAGTATGTCGTTTCATCTTGTGGATCCCACACCTGCTATTGACAGGTGTTGTGTACTTATCAATGCCTCGTTCCATGTTTTGCGAAATGGTTGAATGGTGCCATGAAAACCGTTTTTATTGTAACTCATGTATCAAGTGCATAAGGTTAGATTAAAGTGACTATTTGCCTAAAGAGGGGTTACCATATTATTATTTATCCAGTTTTAATGGATACAATTTCAAATCTACGTTTAAAGTTGTGAATTTTGGGATCCTTAGCAAAGCGTTAGTAGCATATAATTTACAAATAGCCCTGCTCATAAATGTAGATCACTGAGTATATATATATATAATATACGCACAAAATGTCCAAAGTAGTACAGGTGTTCAGTCATAAATATTGCATAGATAAATAAAAACAGAATGCCTTTTTCTCCAACATGTTTCGTTCTTTACTCTTCAGGGAGATTGTAGCGGTTACAGTATGACGTCATTACATATATATTGTGACGTCATAATAGGGACAACATTCTAGAGCGACAAGGTCACAGCTTGCAATGGTTTAACATTGGTTTGTACTTGTCTATGAAGTAGTGTTCTTTTAAAATTCGTTTTACTTTATCCGAATTTTGAACTTGATAATTTTTATCATGTTGGAGAAAAAGGCATTCTGTTTTTATTTATCTATGCAATGTATATATATACATATATATATATAAGAAGAAGTTTCTGAAATAATTATTTCAGAAACTTCTTCTTATATATGTACTACTGTACGCTCGGTATTCTCATCACTTTCTTTTATATATATATATATATATATATATATATATATATATAGTGTAGAATGATTGGTACTGTATAACTACTAGATATGTACTAGTATTAAAGGCGTATGTAAACAAGGCATGGCACAGGTCCCCAGTTGAAGTAAACACTGTATATATGTAATTGGTACTGGCCGTTTAACCACTAGGCTACCCCATCACCAGACCGAGAGAGAGAAATATATACAGAACTTGGTACGTTAAGTTGTACGCTTACGTTTATCTTTATCATAAGTGAACGGTAATGGGGTCAATATATTCAATTAATATCCTTTTGAAATCACTGGCATTTTTTGTGTCCATTTGTAATGCTATTGAACTTCGCAAGGATGGGAAAGTCACATTAACTTGGTGCGCCTAGTGGCTGCAAGAGTTTGATGATCCCCAAGGAGTTGAGATTGTGCCGTTTGAGTCTGACAACCAATGATCGAGGGACAGTCAAAGCGCCTTTTGGGCAGTGGGGCTGGATATTGGCGCTATACAAAAGTTAGAATAATAATAGTATAATAATTGAACAGTACCACAGTGAACATCCTTTTGAAAGGGCGGTGGGGTAGCCTAGTTGTTAAAGCGTTCGCTCGTCACGCCAAAGACCTGGGTTCGATTCCCGAGATGGGTACAATGTGTGAAGCCCATCTGTGGTGTCCCCCGCCGTGATATTGCTGGAATATTGCTAAAAGCGGCGTAAAACTAGACACACTCCCTCCATTGGAAAGGCTGAACCGTGGTCACCCGACGCCCCTTTTAACCTTCTTCACCGCTTATCATTCACCGTGTCACTACTTTTTACACAGATCGGTGTCAATCTTTTAAAATTTATTTTAATTTGACACGATTTGACATAGGACCTTATAGTTAACGTCTCCTTAATTTTGGTATTTTGTATTAACTGCACATTCTGATAGTGAATGGCTGAGCGTGGGAGTAATGTTCACGACGGGGTGACAGCAGAAATGTGATTCACACATTGTACTCGTGTGGGGAATCGGACCAACAGAAAAGACCTTGACCTTGACCAAGGTAACATTGATCACCACACAATGTTAGAATTTGACCTTTGTGTACTTAGTCGGATCAGTATTTTCCCTTATATCTAATCTAATCTGTAGGCATTTTTCAACTCCGCCCTGTCACTTGCGATAATGGTTCTCAATGATAAACATATAAAACCGTTAAAAAATCAAATGAATACCTTTCAATATTATCTGTAACCGTCAGGGCGCCATGTTGAAGCCGTGACCTTGCGGTTAAAACGTTCGCTTGCCACTTCCATGGTGTGAATATGTGAAGTCCGTCAATGCTGTCTCCTGTACTGATATCTCACGAGGAGCAGATATGTTTACTTTGTCTGATCAGTATTTTCCATGCATTCTAATCTGTACGTATTTCTTCAACTCCACACAGTCACTTGCTATGGTTCTCAATGATAAACACATAAAACCGATAGGAAATCAAATGAATTATTATTTGTAACCGTCAAGACGCCATGTTGAAGCTGTGACCTGTGTATAAAGCGTTGGCTTGCCACTTCCATAGTGTGAATATGTGAAGTCCGTTTCTGGTGTCACCCGTACTGATATCTCACGATAAGGAGATATGTTTGCTGTATAAAGGGTGTAGTATTGAGGGAAATGAAATTGTATCTGAGACAAATACTGCGAAACTGACGTTCAGTTGGTTTCACGAACAGCCGCTGTAGTCTTCCTTGTGACAGTATAATGAGTAGGCATAAGTCTGTGTTGGTCTCATGAACACCCGCAGTAGTCTCCCTTGGTTTCCTCAAGTCAGTATAATGAGTGGGCAGATGTTGATCCCCCAGCACAATATACTAGTATACGACTTAAGTCTAGACTAGTACAAGCAGCCCTCTTCCCTGTGTGTGTAATAATTTTGAACGCTTTGTTCTCTGCACGTATCAGGTTACGTTTCCACTGGCGCTAGGTGACTAGCGAACAAGGAGGTGTTCTCCGTATTGAGACAGCTATTACCTTACATCTGTGTCTAAATCGTTTCCAAACCTTGTGTTCAATACCTCACTTTATTCCGTGATTTAATCCAACATTTATACAGATCAACTGTCAATAATAACCAGTGTCAGCAGCCCAATATTCAGAGGTTCCTTCGGCTTGCCTTGAATCTGACACCCGGTGTTTGCGTCACTCATCTACAAAGAAAACACAAGGACATAAAACGTGGTTCTAACGACTCAGGGTGAATCAACGAATGGTATTTTATACCGTTGTCAGCAGTATTTCACAGGAATAAGAAACAAGAAAAAGCAGCGAATGTGGGTCTGTTTATTCAGTTGTCATTGCTTTACAGAGACAGAGACAGTGTTGATGGAAAACAACACGTATCTGTATATTTGCATGTACTTCACAGAGCACAAAACAAACACGTCTTGAGAGAAGACACAGTTAAAGAACCCATTTCAGATAAGGACGACTTATTGTAATAACGTTTAATGTTTGGAAAATAATCTTTTCGATTTTCGTCTTTGATTTCAGTGTTTCTCTAATTTGTTTTCAAGTAAGCCCCATTTTATAAACTTTTGTAAAGTTTTCGTCATATATTATTTTTAAGTGTACTTTGTTTTCCCGGATGTTCACATTTTGATTATGCCAGTGAAGGCGTTAATCAGTACAAGAAAATACACGAAATGAGATGCTTTACCTCAGATTCTACAAACGAAATGTACTGAAAATTATGCGATGAGAAGAATGTACATGAGGGCTTATTGAGAACTTACCGTTAACACAAAGGCGGTGAGTACTTTCACAGTACATTCCTGCAGGGCACTTCTTGACGCACGTGAATTTACTGTAGGACAAAATATATAGCATATTGCCATCTGTAGATAATTTAGACATATTATCGTAGATTTGAAACCGCATAATATGAAACATTTAATCTGTTTACTTCAATTAAACATGCGCATCTACTAAACTGTTAAAGAAATAAAATAAGTGTGATTGAGGTTTTACGCCGCTTTTAGCAATATTCCAGCAATACCACGGCACGGGACACCAGAAATGGGCTTCACACATTGTACCAATGTGGGGAATCGAACCTGGGTCTTCAGCGTGACGAGCGTACGCTTTAACCATTTGGCTACCCCAACGCCCCACCGGTTTAGGCTGTGTGAAGCCAATTTAAATTCTGTGGTGTCCCTCGTCCTCATATCCGACAGGCAATGACGATGAGGTCGAATCTTGCGATCAAATCGTTCACTTGCCACTTCCACGGTTTGCACATGTGAAGTCCATTTCTGAAGTCTCGTTCTGATATCTAACGAGAAGCAGAGATATCTGCTGTATTCCTCTCACCCGGTTCCTTCCTCGGAATAATGGCAGAAGCCCAGGTCACAGTCCAAACATCCCAGAAAGGAGCACTGGGTCTCACGGCAGTTGGGGGGACAACCTGCGGCAAATATTGGGAATAATAATGACGAAGTGAGTTCTAGTAATTTACTGGTTGTTGAGTCTAACTAAAGGACAAAGCTCTTGTAAAAAATGATTAAAGCAAAACAAACGCCCCGTGACAAATTGTAAATGCCACGAGTCAACAGGTAAGCGCTTATCTAGGATACTCGTTATAATGTATATAATTACGTTCTATGATTTGAAGGGGGCAGTGGGGTAGCCTAGTGGTTAAAGCGTTGGCTCGTCACGCCGAAGACCCGGGTTCGATTACCCACCGTGATATTGCTGGAATATTGCTAAAAGCGCCGTAAAACTAAACTCAGTCAGTCAGTCTATGATTTGAAATCCAGTCCAGAAATGTCGTCCATTAATGTTAGACAACAATACTACAGCATGAATACATGACACGTTTTTATGGCTAACAACTTCTTATTCTTTGTACGACGTTTCAGAGCAAATTCTTGCTCCTCCATCGGGTGAATGCTAAATACTAAATCACAGTATTCTGCTGATAGATCTTGCACGGGAATAATTGCCACTCAGTTGTATATTTCCTATGTATACAAAGTGTTTTAGAACGGGACATCTTATCAGTTCGATTGTCCAGTTTGATATTTGTAAGAGTATCTGTGTACAGGGTAACGCACTTACGTAGTTTGTATAAATAAAGACAGGGGTAGGGGCGTACATGTCAATTTTTTAGGATTTGATTAGCGTGAGAAACAAACAAACACCCATATACTTACTGTCACCGAACCACAGCCCAAACTACGAAAAGCAGTAACTTCGCCATTATCGTTGGAAGCTTGTCTAAGATTGAGTCTTTACATTTCACAAACCATTTATGTATCCGTGTATGTGAGGAGTATCCTTAAAAATATTGATATACTTTGGAATGCTGATAGGGACACATTTGTTGGGTGCATTGTATCATAGAAAGTAGGGAACGAGCATAATTATGCATTTGGTGGTGGTCTGTCAAAGTTTCGTGTGTGAAATTTCATTTGTGATATGATTGCATGTATTGCCACTTTGTGTGGGTAATCCTTATTGTACAACCCCTACACCCTTCCCAACACTACGATTATTGTACGCATCATGCTTAAACTTGCAAACACAGAGCTACGACAGTCGTAGCGCTGCGATCCCTGTGTTATGCACTGGAATTGGGTTACGTGTTAACTCTTTAAAGTGAGTGAGTGAGTTAATTTTTACGCTGCACTCAGCAATATTCCAGCTATATGGCGGCGGTCTGTACATAATCGAGTCTGGACCAGACAATCCAGTGATCGGCAACATGAGCATCCATCTGTGCAAATGGGAACCGATGACATGTGTCAACCAAGTCAGCGAGCCTGACCACCCGATCCCGTTAGTCGCCTCTTACGACATGCATGGGTTACTGAAGATCAATATTCTAAACCGGACCTTCACGGGTAGTTAGCTCTTTAGAAGGCGTCTTGTTTGATACCAGATCTGTGAGTAAGATGGTTGTCACGTGGCATTACGTGGTGGTGTTGTGAGACTTTGAAGGTTGAAGAAACGGCTGTGACGGGAATGTTTCTGTCCATGCGAGTATCTTTGGCTATCATGTCGTTTTGTTAAAATACGTCATGAAATCATGATGTCTCGCCTTGGGTTTGTGGTCTTATATGACAAGTCGGATAATGCCACATTCTCAACTTTAGAGACAATTACTATGTATTAGAAAGAAACCTGGAGTTCTGAAACATTTTTCCAGATTCAAAGGTCAATATACTGAAAGTGGTCCCTACAGTATTCGGTTCGTTAAAGCTTACACGTCGCCATATAGGTGCAGATCATTGATAAAAGTGTCTTGTACCTATCAGATATATCCTGGATTTAAACCTTTACTAATTCTTTACTCCCTGGTTCAGAATATAGTACCCTGTAGTACCTTCCAGAACACTGCCCCTCATGACTATCCACAAAAACAATAATATCCTCTTAAAAAAGTAGGGGAACTTCATTATTAATTTACGATTGAAACAATTGGGTGATATATCGGAGTCAATCAATGTTGATATTATAATAATGAATGTTTTAGGGGGCATCACCACTTGCACTTCCTTATGACCATAGTTGTTTGTACAGTAATCGCTCTTGAAAGATATTGGTGTATGACGTGAAATTTGCATGCGTACGATTTTCAATTTCAAAAAAAAAAAAACCCGGCTAGAAACAAACACTAGCAACTGTGTGATGCAGGATGATTGTCCAAATTATCGACCTTCTTTAAAACCGTCATAATTAAGAATGACACCCCGTGCATGGGGTGTATGGGGCTACTGCGTTGTGTACGTGCATCCCATGCGGTGTGTTTAGGGGTGGTGTTGAAGAGAAATGGTGGTGCGTTCATAAGATGCCTGTCCTTGAAAAGTTTGTGAGCGCTTATACTTCCTATCCAAATTGAAAGTTCAGGTTCCTCTTCTTGTTTTGAAGAGCATATTATACTACACTTGGAACAATGTTACACAATGAAAAGCACTGCCACATAAAACATTCCTCTCTGTCTTCCCTCTGTCTTCCCCCTCTTTGTATCTCCCTCTCTCCCTTCTTCTCTTTCTTTGTGACCCTGTCTCTCTTCTACATTTCTCTCCCCCACCCCCTCTCTTTCTTCCTCTATCTGTTTCTGCCTTCCCTTCTTGTCTCTCAGTCTGTGTCAGAACGCTGTCTCTGCCAACCTCTCGCTCTGTGACAAATATGGTCATGAATGCACTGCTTGTTAGATACAATGATACTATGTTTCACATATAGCATATGATGATATCAATGATGCCAGTACAGTATAACTACTTATCAGATATCCACAAGATCTTAATGTTTACTACATGTCAGAGGAGCACGCTCAGGTAACATGGTGCGATTCCCAGATAAGACTACAACCACAACAAAACACTTGTTTGTAGCTAATTTGGGTCAGATGCCGATACTACCTGTTACTCTCACCTCAAGCAGGGGCAAGCTATTTTAATAATGTATACAGAGTTGAGTTAGTAGAGCACCTGTCTGCCTCTACAGTAAGCCATACAGAAGGTTGCAGTGCTGGGGAGTCTTGAAAGGTTCGACTGGGCAGCGCTTCCAAGAAGACGTTAATTCTGTGCTCAGTCTACGTTTAGTGACAGCCTAACCGGTCTGTGTATGTCAGAATCACCCCATCCTCGTTTGTTCTGCTTATGTATTTTAATCCCTTTGATGGTGATGATGATGATGACGATGATGATGATGATGATGATGATGATGATGTTGATTCAATTGATCACAGGCCTGCGTGTTAAACTAAACCAAAACTAAAATGTTGCTGATGTTAACATAATGTATTCACTCACTACGAATGGTCTCATATTGGTCCTGGCCCCGATTTCTCGAAACAAATTTGAGAAAACTCAGCAAAATGCATTTCTCAAACAAAACTGAGTTTGTTTTTCGACTCAACTTGAGTTAAAAACTCAAAATATTTGAGTCTGCTAGGTAGGTAACTTAAGTCATTATTTGAGATGAAAATGGCGTATAGGAGAAGGCAACAACGCCGTCGGAGAAACAAGTCTAGAGTGGCGAGAGGGTTAATCGACCGTAGCAACCCTCTTGAAACCATGTCTGAGGAATCGGTGTTTGCCCGCTATCGTTTCCGACCTGAAACGATCCTGTTCATAGTGTCCCTGGTAGCTGGCCAGCTGAGGAGAGAGACCGCTAGGAGCTGCCCCCTGCCTCCTCTCACGCAGGTGCTCGTCTCTCTCCGGTTTCTGGCGACCGGTGGGTTTTGTTACCTGATTGCCGATACGTACCGCAGCATTTCCGCATCGTCGGTGTATCGGTCAATCAGGGACTTTTGTGGAGCTTTGGTTCCCCTGGCACAGCGCTACATTAAGATGCCCGTGGACACGGACTCATGCAAGTCCATGTTTTACAAGATTGCAGGTAAACATCTTTATTTTTCTTAGCCAGTAAATATCAAAACCACGGTTAAGAATCCTTACCGAATGTTATGTAAAGGGAGATCAATCCAAATGCTGTTTCAAAATATAAAAGTTGAACTGCGAAGCGGAATAAAAAAATCACTTCTTAAATCTATAACATTGCAAAGATATTGCCTATGGTATTGTTATCATTTTAGTCTTAAATTTATATAATTATTTACACCTTGTAGGGTTTCCAAACGTATTGGGATGTGTTGATGGCACGTTCATAAGGATCATTGCCCCAAATAAAGCTGAAGGTGACTATGTGAACAGAAAGGGATTTCATTCACCCAATGTTCAGGTGAGTTCATGTGTTAAAATTCTTCAAGTTAAAAACATATTCCATACTGAAAATTGTTCATATTCCTAGAACTGAATATTAAAAATAAATAGTAATGAATTTGTATTAAAATTAATTCATGATTATTTTATTGTAATTTTTCACATCATAGTAAATGAAAACTAATTTTGATTATCAAAAATAATCATTAGTTTACTTTTACTACATGTTATGGAATTAACATTCAACCCAAATATTACATTTACTCAACAAATTATTATTTTCTTGTGGCAGATGATCTGTGATGCACAGTTTAGAGTTACCAACTGTGTGGCCAAGTGGCCAGGAAGTGTGCATGACAGTAGAATTTTCCGGGACAGTCAAATCAGTGTGGCATTCGAAAATGGTATGTATAAACTTTGCGATGAGAATACATTTAATAATTTCATGTGAATGCCATTGTGAATGTACTCATATAACAGGGGTATCTCGTGAAGATTTAGTAATGACGAATACGTGTGAAGGGTTTTGAGATTTATTGTCTGGGATTTGATGATCCCTCACAGTGGATCTTGTGACAAAACCCTTGAAACAAGGCATAAACAAATTACTGGTGTACAGCAACAAGCATCTTTAAGTAAACATACAATTACATTGAACATTTTCTGAACACAACAAGGCTTACTTAATATATGTATATATCTAAGCATATATCACAAATTGTAGTCATACAGATGAAAATCTAAGAATAAAATTAACCTCGTCTCAGAGACGCAGGTACTCCACAGTGATAAGCCACCAGTGGCCAATGAGTGTATTTAATACCTAATAATAACATAACACAATGAAATACAATATATATTACACACACACACACACAGTGTTTCTCATACCAACAATAATATGCACCTAACATATGCACTAACATGTCATAGGATTATGTACATAATAATCCAACAACTCACACAAGACTTAGTGTAACTACCCAATAACACTAAATACTAATTAAATCATACTTAACTATTTGATATAGAATTATAATGATTACCCAGCTCTACTAAAACACCATATCCTAACCTCATTTCCAGTTCATTGTACATACATTCTCCAGCCTATGACTTAATCAAATTGACATCATATACAAATAACAAGCAAAGAATACTTGACATTTGTAATTTGTCATTTCCATTTCAGGTACTTACAAGGGTTTACTTCTGGGAGACTCTGGCTACCCATGCAAGTCCTACCTAATGACACCGTATCTATCTCCAGTAAACAGGGCTCAAGAAAAATTCAACAGAAGTCAAACGAAAACCAGAGTTCTTATTGAGCAAACATTCGGAATCCTTAAGCGCAGATTTTCTTGTCTGCACAGTGGTTTGCGCATGTCACCCAAGAGTGCATGTAACGTAACTGTTACAAGTGTAATATTACATAATATCGGCATTGACCGCCAAGATGTAATTAATGTTGATTACGATGATTGTAATGATGATAAATTCACTCTCCAAGTTGCTGATGATCTGAGTGGAACAAATGTTAGAAATTATCTTTGTCAGTCATACTTCACCTGAATATTGTACAAATTATCTTCAAATGATGATTCCTTATATAACATAATGAACAAACAAATTTTCATTGTGTGAAATATTCCATGTACAAATATGCTAGTTGGATTCTATGTAGATCACAAATCACTGCTCATTTTGACATTTCAGCTTCATTATTTCCAATTGATGTATACATGGCTTCACGACAAGCGAGCAGATAGCAGACGATGTTGTTGTCATTAGAAACGGAAGTTACGGGCACTTCATGCCGCTTACAACATGAACAAAAAAATACTCAGCGAGATCTCAAATCAAAACTCAGTTGAGTTTGAGTTGAGATTGTTTTGAGAAACGGAAAATTTGAGAAAACTCAACTGAGTCAAAATCTCAAACTCAGTTTGTAATTTGAGTAAAAACTTAAGTTTGTTTCGAGAAATCCAGGCAGGTGTTCGAGAAAAAAAACTAAGGATGTCCTCATCTATTGGTGCCACAAGACAGGTGGTTTGATTTGCGATTAACCAAAGACAATGACATTTTTTTCTGTTTTGATTTGTGTTTCAATTGTCTTAATTTGTTTGAGCGCACAGAAATTCTACAGTGGATATCATATTTAATCATAAAGGTGACAAAACCCTTTCCATCAATGAAGAGGTCAGACACACAGTACGAAGGATGTATAATTAGGAGTTAAACCTACTGTGTTGGAAAATCATAGGTATATAACGAAATTATAATACGCGTAGCGTGAGGTTTTCAATGAACAATTTAGAGCTATTTTAATTTCGTTATATACCTCTGATTTTCCAACACAGGAGGTTTATCTCCATTCTACCATGACAATTTTATGAACAATTTCAGGTGGAGCTCTTTCTTTGGTTACGAGTCAATACGTGAAGCGGCCTCGCATTCCAATCTCAAGTGGCATCGCCCGAAACGGGGTGATTGGTGGCAAACCGTCAATGACTAACGAACTCCAGATTCAGTAATAACAAATCACGTTTTGTTTTTTCAATGCATCAATCACCAATCATTAACTGATTATTTGGAAAACATATTTCAAATAAGTTTAAAAAGCTTGGTTCACATTTGAAAATTCCACCGTAGACCCTTACCCCACCAGAATAATGGCAGCAACCTCATGGCCTTGACCTTTTCTCGGACTGCCTGAGTTTAGTTTTACGCCGCTTTTAGCAATATTCCAGCAATATCACGGCGGGGGGCACCAGAAATGGGCTTAACACATTGTACCCATGGATTCGAACCCGGGACTTCGGCGTGACGAGCCAACGCTTTAACCACTAGGCTACCCCACCGCCCCATTTTCTCGGAAGTGATTGTTTACATTTACGTGCAAATTTGGAAATATGCGACAGGAGAGCCTCTGACAGTTTGCGGAAGGTTAACCTAATTGTATGACTGAGATAGTCTTTGACATCTAATTACTGGTACTGGTACAAAATTTAAGAGTAGAGGCGCTTTTGCTGTAACAAGAAGTCCGTGTTGTACCGAATTTAGATACTGTTGAATTTTACGCCCTGTCAACTTAACGATTTCACGCACCTCTACGTCTGTGTGCGAAAGCTGTGGTGACTCTTACACACTCATGTGTGTACTTTGTGCTCAAATCCGATTCTACGGATATTATTTTTTACATTTTGGAAAGTGTTTTGTGACCTAGTGGCTTCAAAGTGTAGTGAATTCAAATTGAACCGGATTCGCTGGCATGTTCGCGAGGCTGTTGACAAAGAGCCAGATTTGTGGTGATATTTCCGAAAGGATGGATCAGGACATGAGGATGTACCTCTGGCATAAACACGGTAAGGTGATTAATTATACTTTAATAGACTACTTTAGATCAAGCAGTGTAATGGATAAGAGGGATCATGGCTAAGCTAAATAACTTTTTCAACGATATTATACTTTTAGAAAAAAAATATGTTGGGCTAAACAGAACGGTTTGCAGATTCTGTAATTGTGTTTTACTACCGCTAAATTTGAAACAGTACAAATTTCAAAATATCATTTGGTTTGAATTGATAACCCAACTGTTTATTTATATGGACGGAAGGCATTAAAACTTCTTCGGCGTTCGATGATAATGCATCCTCCGTTACCGGATCAAGATCAGTGGCGATATCGTTGACGAAAGCTGATAATAAATTTAACACGGAAATTACGTAGCAGTCTATTGCTGGACCTATTCTGACACAACATAGAATCAACGTAAACATATTTGTTTTTGCTGAATTTTTATTCGGATCTTGTTCGACTGAATATGTTTCCATCCTTTCGAAGTACTTTTGTATGTATAAACACCTATTGCTGTGATTTACGCAAGTAGTGAGTCGAGTCCGTCATCGCTAAATCCATCTTTAAAGACATATGTGTAATTTCCGACAGTAACATCGCCGTAATTTATCGATACATCGGTAGGTTGTTTGGTGTCCGCTATGTTGGTGGGCAGACAAAAATAGTGCATTACCGTAAACCATGTATGATTGCGCACGGAAAACAGAGACCTGTATAACGTGATTATATACCTCTGAATGACTTTAATTAGCCAATCACAATCCAGTGTTTACTGAAGTCATGGTAGAATACAATATAAAAACCAGGCTATAGATCACCATACTGGGGATCATGGGGACTTAAGTACCTTTGCTACCTACATGGACTCTAGCTGGATTTACATCATTCCTTCAGATGGTGGTGATTTTTGCACAATATAACCATACATTTAAAAATACATATATACTACGATTAAAATCACGGACAATGAAAAATACTGTGAATGAAATAGGACTTACTCACCCCCCTCGGGGGACAATAATTTTACGCTACTTCAACCACAGCAGTAAACTGAAAAGAATTACCGCTCTCAAAATAACTAACAGTAATGTGAATGTGAAGTGTCTGAGTGAGTGAGTGAATATTGCTTAACGCGGCATCAGCAGTGTTGCAGCTATTCGCGGCGACGTGAAGTTTCTAGTTTAATGACTATTTGTTTTATAGTGGATGTATAATATGCTTCCGGTGCCATAAGGAGGAGTTGTGACAATGTTACATGTCAAATCACTCCTTACAGGCTGTAGTTGAAACAAAACACAACCCTGTGTCTTTGGATATCAAATTGACTAGGTATTCCATGTACC